AGCTCCTTCAAGGGATCTATCAACACAGTTTCGCGTTACCATCGATTTTATTTCCAATGTTGTCTTTTCTTCCTCTGAGTAATCCTATCACGTTATCATCCACAGTGGAAGCTGAAACCTTTTTAAATCAAGTTTTTTATGCTGATGTCCACAGCCTAGAAATTAAAAGTCACAAGGAAAACTAGTTCAGGCTTTAGTTTACGAGACACTAGATATGCTTTTAAGTTAATCTGAAAACAGCCCTTTTATTTTGAAGTAACAACTAAAAGAAAAAGTCCCATATATTTCCAACATTTATAAATTACCCTAAATTTTCAATATTTAGAAACAAGCGATTACATTCTATAAGCAGGTACCTCATATTAAGACAAGGGCTAGACTGATACCCAGGTACAAACACAACTCCAGGCCGGCGACCCAGCGTAGGTGTCTCCACACGCTGCGTCGGTGTGACTTGGGGGATCTACCCCATGTCCATCCACTTACTGCTCATCTGCACCCCAGCCTTGCAAGAGTGAGAAGGCAAACTAGACACATGGCGGGGGGGGGGGTGAATTCCCAGGGGAACACAATCCATGCTGTTACTGAGAACAATGGGAGAGGGTGGGCTGAAATGAGAGCCAGGGGGCTGGGCACCCCAACGTTCCTCAGTGGATCAGGGCTCTTCAGGGAGGTGGGGCTCTGCTGACCCTACCTCTCCACCCGGCTTTGTCCCCCACTTCAGTCCTTCCTACGCTTACTCCCTGGCCGTCGTTACAGCCCCTAGCCCACCTGTGGTCGTAGCACGTGCCCTCCCGTTTAGGTGACCTCCACGGCTGCCTTCCTGGTCACTCTGGACATTCACCGTTCCTTCCCCTTCTCCTCCCAAAAAGCTCTCTCCAGGTAGGGAAGGACAGCCAAGGGTTCAACTAGACATACAGACCTCGTCAAATTTTAAAACAAACATACCAATATTATGAACTAGAACATAATTATTTGACTTAAACATATCTGAAAACTCTGTCGGTGTGCTGAATAGCAAGTAATTTGGATAAAAACGTTGCTCCCCGCCCCTGAATAGGGACGTCTGCGCATTGTGAAACTGAAGAATTTGTTCCAAACTGGAGAGAGACTTGAAAGAGAAAACCAGGGAGACAGCAGGTGGCAGGAATCTGCAGAAACGTGTTTTCACTGCTAAGGTGAGCACACACTGTCACCTGGTGAGGGAGTCCCTTTGGTAGCTGTATCTGTGCATTTCAGATTATGGGCCTGAGGCCCTCTAAGGGGATCCTTCAGGACAAACCTAGGGTGGGTGAGTAACGACCATCCATAGAACAGAAACTGGGACGACACAGAGCACACTAAGAACTTTCTGGGATGACAGAATGTCATCAACCCATCCTCCGGGTGTGGACGTGTGCCTTCTCGCTCCTGGCTCGGGGCGGGGCAGGCCTCCAGGGCCCACGGGGTGAATTAGCAGGCGAGGCCGCAGGGCTAGAGCAATAGGCCAGGGCCACGCACCTGTCCACGTGGCTTCTCCAATGCAATCCTCACTCCGGGCGGATGATGCCGTGGGCGCTATAGAAACAATACGTAAGTTACTTAACTTCCAAGGGCAGCTTGTTAACTCTTCCCCGCTATTCGTACTGTGACCAAACAATAAGTAGTAACTGTAACCAGAGGCGGACGCGGTCTCTCCAGCACCTCACTGGGCTGCGCGCACCTTCTCCTGGCGATGCTCTGAGATGACACGCGGCCCAGTGACGACACAAAGGGCGGTGAGTGACGTGGGCCTGGTGACGTCAGGCTGCTGCTGGCCCTCTGACGAGTGACAAGCACTTTCCGGCTTCCCTCGGGCGCACGGACCTGCCAGCACCATTGCTTCGGGGCCCTTGTGACGTCAAGTCGGGGTGATGGGCGCACAGGCCCCGTGATGGTGCCACCGACCAGCTGGTGCCCAGAGGCCCCTCGGTGCCCGGGGGGCGGGGCGTCTGGAGCCAGAGCCTGGGTCGGGGGCGGAGCCACGTCCCGGGCTGGGAGCCGCCTCGCGAGACTTCACCGCGCTCTGCACGTGGCGACTTAACACGTGTCGGCTGTTTGGGTCTGGGGTTCTCCCTGAGGTGACCTCGGTCCTCCGTGCCGGGAACTGAGACCACGGAGCTGGAGACCCACCACCTGGGGGAGCAGGCAGCGGAGCAGGTGCTCTGTGAACATGTCCTGGTGACTGAACAGCCGGCGCAGCGGGGTCCGAGGCAGCCCCCGAAGGGATGGGGGGCGGACCCCGCTGCGCAGGCGCCTGGGGGGCCGGGGGTGCGCTCCGGACCCGCCAGCGAGCTGCCTCGAGCCTGTGACCAGGATGTTTCTTTCCGCCGCTGACAAGTGTTTTCCTGTGAGGTTCACCTGAGCGTGGACCTTGTCATGCTCTCTCCTGCGGAGGTAAATCCTGGCTGTAACGTTGCCACCGAAATCCCCTGAGCTCCCAGACAGCCCGCCGGTTTCACGGGGCCTCGGTACACGGCACAGCGCCGGGGGTCGCTGACCAAGCGGTGAAAACATTTCACAAGCAAAGCCCCCACCCCATAGCAGGCTACAGTAAAGGGGGAATTAGATCTGGAGATAAATATTAGGGATCATCAGCTCCAGGGCCTTTGCAAAATTGAGCTAAAAATATCACCGAGTGTAATTAATGCCCGTGAAATCTCGGTGGCTTTGCTTCTAGGTTTTTGTAATTTTAGGAAATCTGGCGTGGAAAGATGATCAGAACATTTAAACAGTACCTTTAAAGCATTGGTTTCGTTCAATATGTATGCTCACTGGTGCATCCCAGACACGTCCTGGGCCCTGGGGTACGAAATGAATAAGGCCACCCGCTCACAAGAAGCTTACAGTTTAGGGCCACCAGCTTGTGCTACTATTTTTATAATAATTATTCAAAGTTATCATAAGGGATAATATCATAGACTTTATCGGGAGATTACATGTGGTTTAAAGAGGTGTGCCTGGGTGACCAGGGTAACCTGACCTTCGATCCCAGTGGGGTTCAATCTGCCTCCAAAATTCTACTTCCTCGGATAATTCAGCTCTTTTCTGAAGTTTCTTTTCCAGTTTTGCGACCAGAGCTAGTGCTGCATTGACCTCAGCTTCCAACTTCCGGGAGCTTAAGAATCTTCTCTCGCCCCCCTCCCCCCACCAGAGCTCCCATTTTTCACTGCCTCTCCCCCATCCTGAAAAAAAATAGTTGAGAGGCTCTCCTGTATGGCTGGGCCCTTGCTACGTGAGATCCCAAATTCCCCAGGCGCTTAGTGCGCTCCAGTTCTAAAGCAAGTCTGTAGCATCCACTTACACGGTGTTCTAGAACAGAAAGATCAATGTGGTTACTAGCATAGCAGCCGGGAAGGTGGGGGAGGGAAGGCTCACCAGGAAGGGTTGAGGGCAGTATTTTAAATCTTGATTAGGGTAGTGGCAACAGAGGCCCGTAGTAGGTGGTTAGACAGGCATGAGCAGGGCAGGGACCACAGGCCAGAGGGTCACCAGGAGGAGAGCCCAGGTGCCTAGCAACAGGCAAAACAACAAGCCCTGGCAGGGCCACTCCCTTAAGCATTAACCCTGGGAGAGGACATCTAGGCTTCAGCTGTGTGTCAGCTCCAGGCCCAGAGAAGCAGCAAAATCAGATGGAGCGAGGCCATGGCTGATGACCTGGTGCTGACCAATCAGGGGAGACCACGAGGGGGCACACCTGGAAAGCTGATGACTATTCAGATCCTCCCCCGAAACCTCCAGATAAAAGCCCTAAGACAGGGACCCAAGTGTTCTCTCTCCTCTCTCTGTCTCTGGAGCACGTCTATGCCTTCTTCCCTCTTCCCTCTCCCGGAATTCTATTAGATGAGAATAGAAGCTTATTTTTATACAAAAGACGTTCCTTCTTAGAATTTCCTGCCTTAATCCTCCTAGTCCAAGTTTCTGCCTTTGGGAATTTGGTAATGGATGTTCTATGTCCATATGGCTCCTGTGTGTGTGTGTGTGTTTAAGAGATTACTTGATTTTCTGTCTAGCCTTGATTTGCTTTGTTCTATGGTTATTTGCTATTAATATTTAAACATATTCTTAACAGGCTATCCCTAATGAGGAATACTTTTTACAAAACACATTACCCCTTAGCTACTTACCACGGAAAGAAAATATAAATTGCCTGAATTCTGCTGAATGATGTGAAAAATCTGAGCTTTTTAGTCATCTAGTAAAGAGCAACATTCCTCCCTGCAATCACTGAACACTAAAAGGATTGCATGCGAGTTACCTTTACTGATATTTACCATATTAGAAATGAAAACTGAGGCACTGGAGAGTATTTACTTGTTTACTTCAATGCCTAGTAACGGGACATGCTTTATGAAAAGTAACTTCCTTTCTCGGAACAAAGATTTTAGCGAAAAGAGTGGCACTGTTCCTTTCATTCTGCAAATCTCTTCAGGGTCTGGATAGCAGACAGTGGGATTCTAGTATCTGCTTCTTGATTCGGTCTGTTCCCATGTGCTGTTCTGTCACTCCAGTTAGAACAAACCTGCAGAGGTGTTCGTCCAGGGGAGAGAGCAGAGGGTAAACCAACGTAATGCGTGTCCTGTGTAGGTTCCAAAGGCACACAAGGCAGCTCTAAGGTCTAGAGAAGCAAGATGGACACCAGACCACACCAGCTGGAGTGAGTGACGCTCAGGACAAACCTCATTCCTGGGTGCGTCTTGTCCTGAAACTTGGAGCGGTTGCGTTTCCATATAGGAAGCTTTAATGAGCTGCAGGACCTACCTCACTTATCACGGTTTTATGTATTAATCCAGTAATTCTAATGGCTATAATTATGGATCTCAGCTGTGTGCTATCATCACTGAGCTATTGACATTCGTTAACAATAAGCGTCCTTAAACTTTCATCAGATTGTAAACGTTCTGAGGTTTCCATTAATTATAAATGTAATTATCACATCAAATGGCCTCTTTCTCTAGGCTTTCTCTTGAAACATCCTTTTGGTGTCCTTCATTTACGCTCTCCCTTAGGGCCCACTAGCCTTTGATCCCCATGGTAAGTCTGCAGGCCTTCCAAGGGCAGGCTGGGGTGCATTCCTTAATTCCTCCCCTCGTTTCTACCTGTTGCACTCACCACTCAGGTTCTTGCGAGCTCCACTTGTTCGGGGAAGCCCCCCCAGCCAGCTCTGCCTGAGCCAGCTGGTGTGGTCTGGTGTGGTCTGGTCTTTGGTTGGATTGGTTTGGTCCATGTCCCAGGGATGGAGGCTCTTCCTCTTTCGTAGGAGGGCGACTCTTCTCCTGGTGGCTATGGAATTGAGCAGGCAACTGCTTTTAAGGACAAGTTCACATATTTTCCACAATTGATATGTGTCTAAAAAGCAGCAAGATTCCAGAATAGATATATACAATAGTTAATAAAATAGAAATACTATAAGTTGAATACAGCTCTCCATCGAGGTGGTCAATTGTGAGAGGTTTTTCATGCTCACTTGTCTGTGTGTCTCCCTATTCCCTCCTGAACATCTGTGGCAGGATGCACTTGGCATACTGCTGACTTCCTTTTTTTAAAAAAAAAATGTTTTTATTGACTTTTAGAGAGAGAGAGAGAGAAACATTGATGTGAGAGAGAAACATTGATCAGCTATCTCCTGCACGCCCCCTACTGGGGATCGAGCCCGCAATGTGGGCAGGTGCCCTGACCGGGAATTGAACTGGGACCTCTCAGTCCATGGGATGATGCTCAATCCACTGAGCCACACCGGCCAGACTATTTTTTTAAATTCTCACCTGAGACTATATTTCTATTGATTTTTTTTTTTTTTTTTTTGAGAGAGGAGGGAGGGAGAAAGAGAAGGAAAGAGAAACATTGATTGGTTGCCTTCTGTACATGCCCCAACTGGGAATCGAACCCACAACCCAGGTTTGTACCCTAACTAGGAATAGAACCTACAACCTTTTGGTGCACAGGACAACACTCCAACCAACTGAGCATTATTTACAGTTGCCGGAAAGTCTTGATTTCAAATAAGCTGCCTTTCTGTTTATCCACCCTCATCTCCTAACTTGTCACGCTGGCTGCTCTGATTTGGGGGTCACACCATTTCTTAGTTTAAAGTGTTGAAAGAAAAAGTATCCCTGTGGCAGAGACAAAAACCCAGAATCCCCTTTTCAGTGTGTGGGGATATTGCTGGAACGTGACTGCCCAGACACGCCACGTTTCCCAGCCCCTCCGCGTATAAATGTTGCCATGAACTGATCCTAACCAATGCACGTAAGCAAAAGAGATGTGCATCCCTTTAGGGCCAAGAAAAGAGTGTGCCTTCTGTTTTCTCTCTCCCCTTCACTCTTGTGGATGAAGACAACCGCAGAGCCACAAGATGGAAGGAGCCTGGGTCCCTCAATCACAGCCTGGGGGAGAGTCACCTGTGGACCAGGAATACCCACAAAAGGCTGTTACATGAACGAAAAATAAATGTTGATTGTTTAAACCTCAATACACTTGGGGGGGTCTGTCCCAGTGGCTAGTCTATACTCGGTATTAGATTTCTTTCTCTTTTCCTCGAGAGACTGCTAGCTGTTCTTGGCTTTCTCGGGTGCTCTAACCCCCACCTCCTCTCCAAGAACCGTCTAAGCTCTTCCGAGAACTGTCCAGAACAGGGTTTCTCCTACCATTCTGTCACTACCTGCCAGGCGTATCTTGAGGCGTTACTGGGAAATATCTAAAGTTAAGGTCATGTCACCATCTTCCTCTGAGGTGCCAGCCCCCGCGGGAAGACAAAGATACAGCCAGCAGTGACATGCCCTCGCAATCCAGAATTTCCTTGTCCGCGTGTCTGAGGATTCCCACCACAAATCAGCAAGTCTCCTTCCCCTGCCTCAGTATGCCCCTGGGGTCAATGTGGAGAGCACCAAGTCCCAGGTCGCCTGTTGTCACTCTCTCAGTCAGCCATTGCCACAACAGTGCCACATAGCCACTCCAGCACTCAAGAACTTAAAACAAAAGAGCAACCTCTCACGGTCACAGGATGGCCACGTAACGTGGGTCTCTGGAGCCCAGGCTGGAGGGACAGTGAGTACCTGTGTGTGATTTTTGTGACAGAAGACAAAGGATCCCAGAGGTGCAAGTGGAAACACGCGAGACCTTTTATGACCTGTGTTCAGGGTGCACACGTAGTCACTTCCACCCACATTCCATTGGCTGAGGCTTGTCACATGGCTGGGCCACGTGAAGGATCATTGAAGTGCACTCTGCACATGCAAGACCTCCGCAGGGTGTGCTGTCAACAGCAGGGTGTACTACCATAGGGACGAAAAGGAGCAGGGACAGTAGTTCAGTCTGCCACAGTCCCAGAGGGACAGAGTGATAGGGCATGTGGAGCCTCTGCTGAAGGTCAGAAATGGGTACTCACTTCAGTTCACTCTGCGTGTTTTGTGCGATGTGGCTCCTTTAAATTCCTACGGCTGTGTACTGCAACAATTCAAGAGGAGAGAAGAGGGAGTCAGACTCTTAGCACCAATGAAGAACTACAGAATGATGTTGATTCCTTGCGTGGTCTCATGTTTATTAACCACCCACCATCAGAAATCCATTCTGCTGGGTGGCCAAAGCCATGTACTGCCACAAGAACCAGCTTCCGTCACTCCTCCTACAGACTAAAATGAAATCTCATCTTACTAAGAACAGAATCTCTCAATGACAGGGCTGAGGCAGAGCTTAGACATCTGGTCAACCCTGAGTTTCTTTAAGATGAGGAGACCCGGGCAGAGACCAGTGACCTGACTGACAAAACCACTTACACACGGATGTCCGCAGTGTCTTGTCCCTATTCCAGCACTCTGTCCCCACAAGTAAGTCTTGTTGGCAGGCATGGGCTTGTACAAAGGTGGGTCACATGGCCATGAATGAGGCCAGGGGCTCAAAGTCAAGAATTCAGGTGGGTCACTGCTGGTTGGCCTCTTCCCAGTGAGGACCAAATCAGGTTCCATGAGAACATTCGGGGTCTCCGAGACTAAAACCGTACCCCACCACTGCTCTGTGTTATCTCTTCTGTCTTAATCCTTTCTGGTAAATGGACCAAATCAGGTTCCATGAGAACATTCGGGGTCTCCGAGACTAAAACCGTACCCCACCACTGCTCTGTGTTATCTCTTCTGTCTTAATCCTTTCTGGTAAGTTGCCCACAATGCCCCGGTACCCACCTCCTGACACCCTCCTCTCTTTTCTATCTCAACCAGCCATTTCCTCAGAAGCGTTAAGATAGGACTGTCAGTCACTGTGAGCTAAGGTGTCACCCCATACTGAAAGCGCTAACTTTACACACAAAAAGAACTCGTGAAAATAAAAATTCGAACACCTCCTCCTTCCCATATTTTCATAATGTTCTCCATCCATCGATTAGACCTTCTCTGGTCTTGGTTGGTCCACCATAATCATACTCCAACGATGTGTCTGCTGCGCTGGATTCTGTGTATTAGGGCTGCACAGTAGACTTTCCCGTGGCAGAGAGAAGTGAATTCACATACGTACAGTCAACATGGCCACAACAACTTGGAGAGAGAGAGATGGTTCCCACAGGCACTCAGGTGTGGGTACAGCCTGAAAAGTTGAACAGTCTCTTTTCTTGATCAAATTGAAGTTCTCTGAACCCGCTTCTCCACCAGCCTCTACCTCGGGCACACACAGCTGTCCTGTCCGTGAACTACCCAGCCTGGGTTTAGAAATCATGCTGTCATTTTAGAGAGCCCCCCTCCCCAACCACCACCCTTGATGTCTGTCTCATCAGTCTAGCCTGCCACTTGCAAGAATCCTGTTAAATCAGTTTAGCAAGATTTCCTCAACCCTCGTGCCTCCTGTGGGTAAATTCACGCCGGCTGACCCCTCGCTCTGTTTGGCTGCAACTCCCTAACTTACCTTTGCTGTACTGAGCTGAGTGGATGTCTCTCCCCTCTTCCCACAGTCTTGACACCTATCTGAATAATACCAAATAGTCTTCCCTTCCGTTTTAACGAGAGTCAGAATCATTGTTTTCTCCACGCAGCGTTCCCAGCAAGAACCCGAACCCAGACTCTGGGTCTGGAAGAAGGGCTTCAGGCGTCCCCACCCACTTCTGTTGTCCGGTCCACAGCGCTGCATGCAAACAGCTCCCTGAAACACTTCGGGGAGGGTCCCCGAGACCCTCACTTCGCCCACGAGGTTCCATGTTCCAGAGTAAAGGCAGCGGCTGCACGAACCAGGAGGCTCCTCTGCCCGTGACCGGGGCGGCGCACAGGCCTGCAGGACCAGGGCAGGATCGCCCCGAGATCGCGCGCACCCCGCGCCCTTGCAGCCCGAGCCGGTCGGCTCTGCACGGCGCGCTCTTGCAGCAGAGGAGGCCGCCCGGGTGCACACGGCTGGCGGTGCCCAGGAGCACAGGGGCGTGCGCCCCGGCCACAGCCGGCCGAAGGCAGGCGCAGGCTGTTCCCGCCCCCTCCGCCGGAGGTCGCGCGCGGCGCCCGGGAGGCCGAGAGCTCGGGGCGCCGGGGCGGCCGGAAGCCTCGGAGCGGGGTGGGCGCGGGCGCGGGCGCGTCCCCGGGCGCCGGGCCTGCTGACATCAGCGCGCTCCGCCCCTCGCCTCCCAACACCCTCCGCTCGCGGCGGACCCTCCCTCTGCCACCACGTGTCCTCGCGCTCCCTCCCGAGGGGCTGCGCGCTCGGGCCGCGGGGAGACGGCCGGGATGGCGCTGTGACAGCCGGGCCGGAGCCCTCGGCGCCCCCCGCGCCCGGCCCGCGCTCCGGGGTCGGCCGGCGGTGAGTGCGCGCGGCGGCGGGCGGCGGGCGGGGCGGGGGCCGGGGCGGGGAGCCTCCGGGGCCGGGCGGCGGGGCGGGGGCCGGGGCCGCAGCTGCACCGCCGCCGCCTTTGTTGCGGGCCGGCGGGCGGCGGGCGGCGGGCGGCGGGCGGCGCCGGGCTCGGCAGGTGCGCGGGGCGGACCAGGCCCGGCCGCCCGGTGCGGCGGAGACGGGAACTGGGACAAGATGGCTGGAGAGACCCGAGCGGCCCCGGGCGCGGGCGGTGGCCGGGCCGCGGGCACCCCGCCTCCCATCCCGACCCGCCGCCCGGGAGCCGGCGGGGAGGCCGCGGCCAAGATGGGGCCCCCGCTCCGCGATCTGAAGCCCGTTCGGCGCACCCCAGACCCCTTCCTGCCTCCTCTCCCGTCCTTTTCGGAAATATGCGAGAAGCCGACTTGGAACTCGGGAGCGATGTTTTCTCGGGCCACCCGGGAGGATGCGGCCCCCAAGAGGTGCCCTCACTGCCCACCTGGGGGCTGCTGGCCCGGAGCGCAGGAGCGCGGCCCGGTACCGGCCTGTGAGCTTCGCAGAAGAGGGCATTTGTGCCCGGCGACAGCGGGGCCGCTCCCAGGGGGCTGGGCCGGGGCTGGGCCCCAGCAGATTTTTACACCGTCTTGGATTTCCACGCGTCACCTCTCGCCATGTGTCACTGGCTCCAGAATGACGGTTCTGTGAGCCTGCTCGCGACAGTACCTCTGAATCTGGAAAATCCAGATGATGGCGATTCCGAGCCAAACAACCTGGCACCCAAAGGCCTGTAGGAACAACCCAGTGAGCAAGTGTCCTGTCTGTCTGCAGACACCTTCACCGATAGGAGGCCTCCTGGGCTGAGTCCATGTTCGGGTGGCAAAGGCTGTGGGCACCCTGCCTTTCTGTGCTCTCTTCCCGGAATGTTTACCCACCAGCCGGTTCTGCCCTTGGGTCCCTACAGAACCAGTCTGGTCTCTTCCACGGAGAGCTTTCTAATTTTTTATTTATTGATTTTAGGGAGGGAAAGGGAGGGGGAGAGAGAGAGAGGAGAGAGAAACATCGATTTGTTGTTCCACTTATTTATGCATTCACTGGTTGATTCTTGTATGTGCCCTGACTCGGGATCGAACCCACAACCGTGGCCTATCGGGAGGACGCTCTAACTAACTGAGCTGCCCAGCCAGGGCCCACTGAGAGCTTTTTAAATACTTGAGGGCAGCCACAGCTCTCTTTGCAAGTCCCTCTTTGTGTCATGATTAAATGTCTCCTTCCAGCTTCCTGGTGCCCCTCCCCACTGCTTCCTCCCCAGGCCTGCGGCAGAGCTGGGGGCTGAGCGGTTGTGTAGGCAGCACCCCCCCCCCCCATTCAGGCCATGAAGAGTTCACGACAGCCTGAGTTTTCTGGACATATCTTGCAGACATGGAGTCCCCAGCCTTCCCTCTGAATCTGACCCTGAAAGTGGAGGAAAAGGAAGAAGAGATTCGGAGCCCGGAACTGGAGGGTGGTTCCACCGACATGCAGAAGGTCCGCATCTGCTCAGAGGGTGCGTGGGTAAGTCAAGGTGTGGGGGCCGCACCGCTGAGCCGCAGGCCTGGGAGGGGGCTTGTGTGGGGCCTCCTCCTGGAGCAGACGGAGGAAGTGAAAACTGCCCAGTCCAGCTCAGGGCGTTTGCATTCCTGAGAAAACAGCGCTGTGCCTTTAAAGGGCGCTGTGAAAACAGAGCTGGTCACCTGAGCAGGCCCGTCCGTGCGGGCGGCCAAGACCCAGCCTCTGCTGAACCCCTGGGTCTCCCGCGCCCTGCTCCGTGCCAGGCGTGCTGACCCATGTTAAAGGAACAGTGCTCTGACGGTTGTTACCATTGTAAGAAAGGGTCTATTCAGGACTACTGAGAGGGGTGCCCGGATGTCACGGAAGGGGACAGAGATCGGGCTCCGCGCCGGATACAGTAAATACAAGTGGGGATTCAGAGCCAGGAGGCCGCGTGGAGGGGTCAGCAGATGAAGAAGTACTTGGGATGGGAGGGTTCCTGCTCAATGGACATCGCAGGGTTGATTCTTGCTGAAGGCAGGCCGGGCGATCGCATATCCAGGGTGAGGGTTTTCCTAAACGGACGTAGCAGGGTTCTGGCTGAAGCCGAGCCGGGCAGGCTGAGGAAGACTTCACGGGGAAGAGGACTCAGAGCAGCCTGACTCAGTTTGAGCAAGAAGAGGGTCCGTGTCACTTGCTGCTGGTCGAAGGGAACCACTTTCGGCGCGACGGGGGGTCCCTGAGCGGACCTGGGGAAACCGGACAGCGAATGGGCCTGGGCCGCCTGTCACGACCTGAGCCAGTTCCGCGGCGACGAGGTTGAATCGTCTGAGCACTGGCTCCAGTATTGCTGACAGTTTGCGGGAGCGGTGGGTCGTCCCATAAAATCTGCCCTGCCCCTCCCGCCCTAGCCGGCCCTTTTTAAAGGGTCGAAGGACAAAGACTACGTGAGAAAAGGCAGTTAGGCAAAAGGAACGAGAAGGATTAAAGTGGTCACAGGTGATTACAATCATGGGCAAGGAACGAGCTGGGAATTGCAAAAGGTGGTTGCAGTGTGTGCCTCCCTGTTCCAGTATTTTGATAACCAGCTCATTAATCTTCCCGTGACGTCAGGCAGGTCCCCCTCGTTCTCAGATCAGGAGAATGGTCCGCGTTCCGGAGGTAAACTCCCGAGGGGTACACCTTCCAGCCAGGTCAGGATGGGCTTTTCGGTCATCAGAGCAAACCAGCCACAATTAACATTGTGAAGGATGATTAACATTTTCTTTTAACTATGGCGAATGCCCCACTATGATTACTTTTTTTATTCTAATATTCTCTATTATGCCGATATTTTCTCCTGCCCCTTTAGTGGGACAGCCGCATGCCCCGCTGGCTTGGATGCAGGGTTTGGGGGAGTCGGCAGCTGGGAATGGGGAGCATAGCCAAACAGAATAGTGGGAGAGAAGTTGGGTAAACTTGTAAAAATGTCAAGGTAGCAGATAGAGTTATTATTAGGTATACTTATTCACAGTGCTTACTGGACTTCATGAAGTTGGGTGTGGATAGCAAACATTTAAAATAAGCCACAAGTTGACATTCCTTTCTCTGCTTCGTTCTCATTATCCACATCATCGTACCCTTGTCGCCAGTGAGGTCTGTAGTCAGAATCGTGGGGCTGCCAGATCATCCAGCTCCCCTCCCACCTGAGGGAACTGGGGTGCAGGGAGGTTATCCTTTGCCCCGAGGATACACGTGTACACTGATTGTTCTTAAAATGCTTCCTGAGCTGGGCCCTTAAAAGTTGCATGTTTTGCTGTGTGTAGATCTTAATAACTTAAAATACAACTTAGCACCAGGTTCAGGCTCCAGTCCTGCCGTGGAGGCTGCACTATCCCTGTCTCTTCCGTCGTCTTTGCCCACCTGTCCTGGGTCTGGTCCCTGCAGCTGGGACATCCAGGAGGGCAGGTGTTGGTCCCAGGTGTTCGGAGCAAGACCTGGAGGCCATGGAGGCTGAATCAGCCCACCCAGCACATTGAAGTAGGGTGCAGCACCGTGGGACAGGAGCAGTGAGTGTCTGGACAGGAGACGCGTGTAAGGTGAAGACCACCCTCTGGGAAAGGAGGAAGTAAACAGTGAGCACAGTGCTGGGAGCTACTGAGACAAGACCTCCGGTCTCGAGACTGGTCACTCAAGAGGCAGAGCCGGGGCCAGGTCCGGGAGCCAGACCCCCAGAGCGTGTGGGGATGAGGAGCGAGAAGCGGGCCAGGCCGGGGCCGGGAGGGCGTGGTATGCTGGGCATTTGGAGCCCTCTGCTTGGTGGCTCTCGGGGACAGGCTGGAGCACCCACAGGAAGCCTGAGACTCCCTGCAACCGCCACACGGAGGCTGAGCAGCCTGAGAAAGCACAGGCTTTGGGTCAGACCTCACTCTGTGACTTTGGGCATGTCACTTAACAGCTCTGTTCCGCCCCCCGGAAAGCAGGGTGGTGACCCCGCATCTGTGTGTCACGTGAAGGGTTCAGTAAGATGATGTACATAAAACCTGCGGGAGGGCTGCCCGCCCAGGGCCCTCTGCCCGGGTCCTCCCGTCTTCCCTGTGAGGCTGGGCAGTGTGTGTGGGTGCTGCAGGCACCCACCCTGGAGATGAGCCTGGGGTGCCAGCCTGCGGGCAGTGGGGTCTGCGTGGGGGGAGGGGAGAGGGCCCCTCCCTGCGAGGCTGGGGAGGGCGCCTGGCGGGCCTCGGGCTGCCCGACCCGAGCCTTGCCCAGGCTGGCCCTGTTGGCGCTTGTGCTCGGCCAGATAAAGGGCCTCTGTGGAGGGGGCGGGCACGCAGGCCTGGCGAAGCCCCTCGGTTGTCACAGGGGGTGGCTGTGAGGGGCTGTCTGAGCCGCGCTTTGTGTCTCGGGAACATAATGTGGGCTTGTTTGAAGCTCCCCAGTGGCGCGGGCACAAATACCAGGCGAGGAGCCCGGCACCAGCCTCCAGCCGCCTCCTCAGTGCCGGATGTTTCCACGGGCCCGGCCATGTGCCTTCTCCCATCGATTGCCCAGGAAGTGACAGGACAGCCAGGCCCTCGTCCCTTGTCAGCAAAGGGAAGGGACTATAAATAGGCGCGGCCTGGATCTGGGGTTTGCTCGGGAGCGATGGGGCCTGTGGAGGAGCCTGGGGGGGGGGGGGGATGAAGTCAGGACAGCCCAGGGCTGGCCGCTGGGTCCTGGTGTCTCACACGCTCCTCCTCCAGAGTCTGGGCTCATTCTTGTGTCAGACGAAATGTAACCATCATTTGAAACGATTCTAAGTGGAGCAAGAGGAGGGAAATTCGGAGAGTATTTGCTTAAATCTTTTATTCAAAAATATGTGTAAGTGATCAGGGAAGGAAAAGGAGAAGCCGGCCTGCCCTCCGTGGCTGGTCCAGGGGAAGAAGGGACACGGGAACCAGAGGCGTAGTGACAGGAGCCACTGCAGAGCTGAGCGCAGGGCCTGCAGGGACGGGAGGCCTGGGGAACGGGGTGTCTGGGCTGAGTCCTGGAGGCAGCGGCAGGGCGGGAGGTGGGTGGCTGGGGTACAGCTGAGCACGGAGGCAGGGGAGGGTGGAGGCCTGGTCCCCACGGAAGCCGTTCGGCTGTTAAGGGCTGGAGCCTGGAAGTCAGACGGCGCTCGGTCCCATTTACTGGCCCTGTGACTTTGGACAGAAACGAATCCTCTCTGAGCCTGTTTCCCCCTCGATTGGTTGGAGGGGCTGGGGCAGCGGTGTGTGCGTCCGGGCAGAGCCTGGCAGTGCTCCCTGCGTGTCGGGCGCTGGGGGGGGGGGGGGGGGGTAAGTGGACTGTCAGGGTGAGGAGGGGAGGCCGGCGCCTCTGAGCGATCCATGGCCAGGCGCCCGAAGCTGCAGGCCGTGTGCACAGTCGATCGGATGAGAAACGCCGTCATCATCACCCAGGCCCTCGATCAGCTTTGGGAACAGCTGTGAAAACAGTAATCAAGGTGGCCAGCCTGAAAGAAGCAGCCCAGGGGTTCCTCACCGCTGACTACGATGACCTTTGGAGTAGGATTCTTAGTGATTGGGGTGGAGGGGGCAGTATAAAGAAAAGCAAATAGTTGAACAAACAAGAGGAGGTTGGTGTGGGTGGCGTGGCCGCCTCTCGCTGCCGGCGTCCCCTCCCCCTGGGGGTGCGAGAGGGGCAGCCCCCGTCCTCGGGGCTCTGGCTCGGGCCCTGGCAGGCGAGTGAGCTCTGCTGTCCCCTCACACACACCAGGCCGTCATTAGTCCTCTTTCCTGCTGTGCCCCGTGGGAGAGGCCGGTGGCCCTCTGTGACGGCTCCTTGCTGGCTGCTTCGGGTTCAGGGTCCAACTCTAGGGCCAGCGGGAAATGGGGACCAGTGCCCGAGAACCTCTGAGGTCCATCGAACTTACCACCAGACCAGCCTGGCCGAGGCTCTGTGACGAGGAAGAGGAGGGGCCGGGATGGGGTGTGGGGCAGCCTGGCTCTGCAGTGAGAATGACCAGCTCTCCCCGGTGTGCGGAAGGGTGTCCCCCCGGGATCGGGGGCTGGGGGCTTCTCCTCCAGCCGCGCCCTCTGTCTGCGAGCTGGCTGCGCTGCAGGCCTGTGCTCGGGTCCTGTTTTGCCCCTGGTGGCCGCGTGTGGGTGGACAGCCGGTTCCCAGGGTCAGGGCCTCTCGGGGAGAGGGAGGTGTGAGTCACCCCCACGTGCCCGAGTCCTGAGAGGCTGCTCTGTCCCAGGTGCCGGCCCTGTTTGACGAGGTGGCCATCTACTTTTCCGACGAGGAGTGGGAAGTTCTGACGGAGCCCCAGAAGGCCCTGTACCGGGAGGTCATGAGGATGAACTACGAAACGGTGCTGTCGCTGGGTAAAGCTCCCCGTCCCTTCGTCTCCTGGAAGGTCCGAGCCCAGAGACTGGCTTCCACGTCTCCTCGGTGGCGGGACCTGCACCCCTTGCTCCTGAACGTGGCCTCTGTGCCATTGACTTCCCGTGTTCCACTCGGGCAGGGCTCTAAGTATCCTGTCATCTGCTCAGTAGCTGCTGGTCTCAGAACAGTCCTCATTCAACCCAGCTGTTTGCATCAGAGAGACAGAGACAGGGCCTCAGACATGTCAGCGCGGGCCTGGGCCATGTTCGCGTGCTCCTTGGCCCTGTCCTCACCCGTGTCAGCCTCAGAAGCATGGGGACGTGCCCCCAAGAACCCTTGCTCCCCTCCTGCACTGATAGCCAGGTTAGCAGAACGTAGCCCCAGAGGGGTTCCCGGTCCGCGGGACCCGCCCTCGCTGGCAGAGGCCCCCGGACTCGCCGAGCCAGGCCTCCTTCCCTCCTGTTCGCTCCGGAAGCACCGCAGCCCTTGGCCCTGCTCTGCGTAAATCTCCGCGTTGAGAGGGTGGGTTGGGCTGCTACGAAGGGCTGGTCTCGGCACTGCTCCTAACCGGTGTCACTTCCTCGGACAGAATTCCCGTTCCCGAAGCCGGACATGATCTCTCGGCTGGATGGGGAGGAGGAGTCTCAGAACTTGGACCGATGGCAGCTCCCGGGAGGAAGCTTCGCAGGTACCGAGACTGAGCCGCGGGCCCTCTCGTGGGAGGCTTTCCGTTTCCACGGTGGTTCTCTGGGGCGTGTGAGTGAGGCAGGTCGCCAGGCAGACAGACCTCCTTCCAGTCTGTGTGGCCTTGGGAAGCTTCTCCGACCTCCGAGCCCTTGTCTTCCTCTCGCTGTGAGTAAGAGGTCTCGGGGTGTGACCTCGTGTGCCGATGGAGCTCGTGGCCCTGGGACTGGCGCCCATCCCGGGTGAATGACGCCACCTCGGCAGTGCCCTGTACGCCTCTGGCACCCAGGGACATCGTGTGCCGAGGTGTGCGTCCGGTCACTCTCCCTGGCTGCTGCCCGCTGCACTGGCCACAGCACACACTGGAGCAGGCGGTTGACAAGCACATGGTCCTTCGTCCAGAGTCACGGCCGGAGGGTCACCATTGGCCGAATGCGGCTTCGGCAGCCAGGGTGGTTTCATCTGCCACCTCCGGAGGCGGGAGTCCCCCGTGCGGCAGCTCATTGATTCTAAGGCGTGTCTTCCCCCACCACTCGGACATCTCTGGGGTGGAGACTGCCTCTTAAAATGACGCTGCATCCCCTGGCCGCCGTGGCTCGGTGCTTGAGTGTCAGCCCATGCCCCGAAAGGTCACCAGTTCGATTCCCAGTCAGGGCACGTGCCCAGGTTGCAGGCTTGATCCCCAGTAGGGGGCGTGCAGGAGGCAGCCGATGGATGTTTCTCTCTCCTTCTCCCTTCCTTTCTCTCTAAAAATCTACTTAAATTTTTTTAAAAAATAATTATGTTCCATCTTGCAACTGATGACATCTCAGTTTTGGTGGGATGTGTTACTGTCCCCGAATCGTAAGCAGTTTCTGTGACCCCCTCTGCACACAGACACACAGGGACCCCGGTTCTAAGGTTGGTGCACGAGACCCACCAGCTGCCCTGGAAGCTGGACCCTGCTGAGTGTGGTTCCCTGTCGCTTCTCTGGGTTCAGGGGTATGATTCAGCCCATGACCTGTCCACACCCTGCAGTGTGTACGGTGTACGGTGTGTGGCTGTATCTGACGTCTCATCAACACAGAAAGATTTTGACCCAAACCTGGCCCCCAGATCATGATGCGACCGGGCTCATCCCTGTGGTCAGTGCTCAGCTCTGCCTGTGGCTCGGCTGCCTTGACACACTAACGCCGCAGCCTCCTTTGCAAAGCAGGGATGGCGACCACAGAGACCGTGGGAGCTGGACAATCCGTGGGCGGTGACACCTGGCTAGGAGGCAGGAAATGCCATTTGTTACACAGTTACTGCTTTCGGGGAACCCCAGGTTAAGGTACTCTTGGCATTTCCACCAACAGAGTCAGGGAACAAGCCGGGCATCGTTGTGCTCACTGGCGTTACCTTTGCCCTCCCTCTTTGTCTCGCAGAAAACGAAGAAGCTGACGTCAAGCCCCCAGACCGGGCCGGCCCGATGCGCACTGCGTCCCCCTTCCCCCCACCGCAGCCCCTGGACGGCTTTGGCCTCCGCCTGCCTCGGGACATCACCGAGCTGCCCGAGTGGAGCGAGGGGTACCCCTTCTACATGGCCATGGGCTTCCCGGGATACGACCTCTCTGCCGACGACCTGGCCGCCAAGTTCCAGTTCAGCCGGGGCATGCGCCGCAGTTACGACGCGGGGTTCAAGTTGATGGTGGTGGAGTTTGCCGAGAGCACCAACAACTGCCAGGCGGCCAAGCAGTTCGGCGTGCTGGAGAAGAACGTCCGAGACTGGCGCAAGGTCAAGCCGCAGCTGCAGAACGCCCACGCCATGCGGCGGGCCTTCCGCGGCCCCAAGAACGGGCGCTTCGCTCTGGTGGACCAGCGCGTGGCGGAGTATGTGCGGTACATGCAGGCCAAGGGGGACCCGATCACCCGCGAGGCCATGCAGCTCAAGGCACTCGAGATCGCCCAGGAAATGAACATCCCAGAGAAGGGGTTCAAGGCCAGCCTGGGCTGGTGTCGCCGGATGATGCGCAGGTACGACCTGTCGCTGAGGCACAAGGTGCCCGTGCCCCAGCAGCTGCCCGAAGACCTGACGGAGAAGTTGGCCACCTACCAGCGCCGAGTGCTGGCTCTGCGCAGGGCGCACGACTACCAGGTGGCGCAGATGGGCAATGCCGACGAGACGCCCATCTGTCTGGAGGTGCCCTCCAGGGTGACTGTCGACAACCAGGGCGAAAAGCCCGTCTTGGTCAAGACGCCAGGCCGGGAGAAACTGAAGATCACCGCCATGCTCGGCGTCCTGGCCGACGGCAGGAAGCTGCCCCCCTACATCATCCTGCGGGGCACGTACATCCCGCCCGGGAAGTTCCCCAGCGGGATGGAGATCCGCTGCCACCGCTACGGCTGGATGACGGAGGACCTGATGCAGGACTGGCTGGAGGTGGTCTGGAGGCGGAGGCCGGGGGCCGTGCCCAAGCAGCGAGGCCTGCTGGTCCTGAACGGCTTCCGGGGCCACGCCACCGACTCGGTGAAGAGCTCCATGGAGGACATGGACACCGACATGGTCATCATCCCGGGGGGCCTGACCTCGCAGCTGCAGGTGCTCGACGTGGTGGTCTACAAGCCGCTCAACGACAGCGTGCGGGCCCAGTACTCCAACTGGCTGCTGGCGGGGAACCTGGCGCTGAGCCCCACCGGGAACGCCAAGAAGCCGCCCCTCGGCCTCTTTCTGGAGTGGGTCATGGTCGCGTGGAACAGCATCTCCAGCGAGTCCATCGTGCAGGGGTTCAGGAGGTGCCACATCTCCAGCAGCCTGGAGGACGAGGACGACGTCCTGTGGGAGCTAGAGGGCGAGCTGCCCGGCGGAGGGGAGCCGCCCAGTGAGGGCAGGACAGAGAGCCACTGAACCCACAGCTCAGGTAACCGGGGGGCGCTCGGTGCTGCCAGGTGCGTGTCTGTGCTCACTGGCGCCTCGTACCCCTGGCTTTTCTCTTTCCAAGACGCCTTCGAGCCCGGGTGCGGTGGGTCGCAGGCCGTGCGCCTTTTCTCCAGCGAAACTTCTGCGGCCGGGCGTCCTCCGTGCGCACTGGCCCTGGCCCAGACCCCGGCGCTGGTGCAATAACAGTGCGAACCACGGGTGGGCGCCAGGGGGCTGTCTCAGCGCTGGGAGGCCAGTTACTTGGGTCTGAAGGAGCCCAGTCTGACCGCTGGGGCAGCGGTTTTGTCCGAGAGCCCGCTTTGTGCTGTCTCGCTGGCCTGGACTCGGGACAGCACCAGTGGCCTTCAGACCCTGTCCTGGGCCTCGGACCATGGTCCTGGGCGGTCTGCGGGAGCACCCTGGGAAGGGAGAGTGCTCGCTTTCCCCGGTGTTTCCAAACAGCGTCTTATTCTTCATAATGACCTGCACAGGCGGGGCAATGAGCCCTCGGTGGTCTGCAGGAAGGTGTTTTTAAATGGAATCAAAAGAAAAATCATGCCCTGGCCAGTGTGGCTCAGCAATTAGAGCGTTGGCCTGTGGACCAATGAGTTGCGGGTTCGATTCCAGTCAAGGGCACGGATCTCGGTTGTGATTCATCCCCGGCCCTGGTTGGGTCGTGTGGGAGGCAGCCACTCGATGTGTCCCTTTCATGTCGATGTTTTTCTCTCTACCTCTCTCTCCCTCCCACTCTGTCTGAATAACTACAACAACAAAAAAGGAAAAATCCCCTTGGGTGAGGATAAAAAAAAAGAAAATTCATAATAGAACAGAGTGCACCTCTCTGGTGAGCAGAGTCTGAGGGCGAGGGCGGCAGGCGCGTTGTCAGTGGTCTCGAGTGGGGCCGCCGAGTGGAAGGGGGTGGGGCCCGCGGAGGACGGCCGCGGCGGCAGGGACACGGGAGAACCAGCGGTCCCTTGACCTGCTCGTGCTCGTCTCCAGTGTGTGTGCTCCTCCCAGCACAGTGTGTAGTGAGTGTGAGGAGGCTGCTCCTCCTCGGACAGGGGACCTGGAGCATCCTGACTAAACTTCCCTTTAAAGTGGAATTAGGGCCCTGGCCGGTTTGCTCAGTGGTTAGAGCGTCGGCCCGCAGATCAGTGAGTCCTGGGTTCGGCTCCCGCTAAGGGCACGCACCTCATTTGCAGTTCGTCCCCGGCCCTGGTTGGGGTCGTGCAGGAGGCAACCAGTCGATGTGTCCCTCTCACATCCATGTTTCTCTCCCACTCTCTCTGAAGATAAATAGTTAAATGTCCTCAGGTGAGGATTAAAGTAAATAAATACAGTGCAGTTAGGGTGTTTCCATCCTGTCTGCTTCTTCCCCCAGTGAAATGCTAACAGGTGTCTCCTGTCACCCCCTGCACTGTTTGGGGTGACCTCGTCTCCCTCCCTGCCCCAGGCAGATGGCGCTCACACCGCTGAGCCCGCTGCCGTGGTGGGGTCCCTGGAATCGCAGGGGAGCCGAGGAGGTCTTGCTGGGACATTTGAAACCACCGGAGTGGCTTCTCTGCCCTCCTGTCCCCTCCTCTTCCACCTCCTGGGGGCGCCTCCCTTGTTCCAGTCGGTGACCACCACTGTGTATCAGACTGACTCACGAGAGTTTTTAACCCTCACTTTACCTTCTGTTTCGTCTTGTTAGATAACGTTTTTGTGCGTTTTTAGTTTTCTAAGCTCCCTGCCACCCAGAGGGCGGGGTCCAGAGGAGAGGGCGCTGCCTGGTGAGCGCAGGTGGCGGCGGCGCCCACGGCTCTGCCCTTCCGGATGCCGGGCGCGGCTGCAGCTGCCCCTTTCTGAGCCGAGGATGCTGTGGCCACCGACGGGCCCCAGATCTGGGAGACGTGGGCCCTCAGCAGCCCTCATCTGTTTGGAGAGCTGACGGACGGAATCGTGCCCTTGTTAAACGTTCGACGCCGAGACCCCAGGGTCGATTCACACTTGGGTTCTCTCTGTTTTCCAGCGATGCAGCTGCTGGAAACGGCGGGAGGGGCGAGAAGACGGCTGCAGGTGTGGACGCACCAGAAGCGGCAGGAAGGGCCGTGCGGCTGGGAGCAGCGGGCGTGGACAGAGCCTGGGCAGCCCGCCCGAGACACAGCCCGCCCCCCACTCCCACGGGGTCTCAGACGCCTGGGACCCTCCACTCCCGCAGAGACGGGATCGGGAAAGAAGCCCCTTCTGCCCCGTTGGAGAGGTGGCTCGCGTCCACCGGTAGGAACCTGTAAATAAGACAGACGGACGGAGGTATTTCCTGGAGAACGGACTGTCCGGCGCCACCGGAGGCTCGTCCCGCGGCCCGTGCTGCTGGCGTCCGTCCTGGGGAGGAACAAGTCGTCGTCCCTTCGGCCTTTAAAGCGCTTCCAGGGGAGCCTGCCCCCAGCAGGGTGGGGCCGACCGCGGAGACAGCGACGTAGAAACGAGCTTTTTTGTACGTAACACATTTCCCCTTAGAGAAAGGAGGTACTAACGATAACAGAATTGAGGCACTGGCCTGGTGCCAGCCGGTGGCTTCTCCAAGACAGACTCGGTGAGGGGGAAGGCACAGGTTAAAATACACAACACTGTTTCACTACTCCTCTTCCCAGTCAGGTTGGCAGCTAGACTTCTTGCGGGTCTCACTGACCGGCCCCGTTTTTCGCGATGATTCTATTTAACGACGGCAGCCTTGAGTCCACGGCTCGAGTTTCTCGGGCTGGAGGTCTGCCGTCCACGTGGTGCAAGGCTCACGGGCTCGCTGACGTTCCTTGTTGATTTCTTTAATGTTTTTATCCCGGGGGTGGTGAGGGTGTGGGCCGCGAGCCACAGCTGTGCGAAGGCTCCGGTCTCCCACCCTGCAGGACAGGAGGGCGGACTTTGCCTTTTCACACTGTGGTCATTTGCATTCCCACCCAGTGTCATGCAAACATTCCTTCAAGGCAAAGCTGCCCCGCTGCAGGAGGTGGGCCGGAACCTCGCAGACAAAGCCATGGCTAGAAATGTCATTCCAGTGTCAGGTCTGGGCACAGGCCTCCACCTCCCCTTCCTGCTCACCCGCCCGTCCGTCCACGACACTGTCCTTGGCAGCCTGAACACCTATTTCTACTCAGGTACCCACTGACCTAGTGGCGAAACACCTTCCTCCTCGTGTTAAACCAGTTTTCCTCCAAGAGGGGAAATTTCACTTAAGTTCTGATATTGGAATAACTTCCAGCATTTGAATTCTGCCGTTGGCGAGCTGTACCACGTTCTTCGTCATCTCAAGGGGCGTCTGAGCCCAGCGACTGCGCGTTCCAGACGGCTCCACCCCTCCGAGTCCACTTGGACTTGCCCTCGTCTTCCTGGTCCTGGCTCTTCCCTCTTGCCGCCTCACTTCACTTGCTTTGGGCGCGTCCAGGGCTTCGTCAGACCTGACTTTGGGGACCTGTGTCGGAGCGTAGTTATCTGGCAGAGAGGAGGGGGAAACGGGTCAACTCCTGAGTCATTCCGTCAACAGCGCGAGTCTCATCGTCCCTGACCAGTGCCGCCCTCGGGGCCGTGCAGCGCCGGACGTTCCTGGAGCAGCGGCTGCTGTCGGGGCGTCGGCTCCTGCCTCCGCTGGCTGACCTGCGACCTCTGCGGAGCGGGGCCCCGAGCAGCCATGTGCAGTGGCCGAGGCCCTGGAGGGACCAGAGCACCTGTTGGGACGGAGATGCGCTCCCTGTAGGTAGGAACTGACCTGCAATAAACTTTGATAGTGAAGAACATAGGCTGTGGTGCTTTTGTTACCTGCCTGTCCGTGTTGAGAAAAGTCGCGCTTCAAACGACTTTGCCCTCCGTTGCCCATCAGGCTGACAGGTTCCGCCCTTGACCAGGAAGGGTCTGCTCACGGGGTGGCAGCTTCCGTGGACGGTGTCTTTGCAGACGGAAGGAAAGGTGGGGTGTGGTTTTAAACCGGTGGAGGGGGCATAAATAGCTTTTCCCCTCCATCGGTGTCGGGGTGCCGGGAGGCACGCGTGTCACCAGTCATGCAGGTGATCCCTAAAGGGGTTGGTTTTCAGTGAGTGAAAATGGGCCAGCACGGACACACAGAAAACTGAAGTGTGCCGTTTTCACCCGATTCTTTAAAAAGGAAAGCGATGAACCATGTACGCGCGCATTTGGTCAAATGAGTCCCCACAGTTGACTGCCTGTGGATTCAGTGAGATAAGGAGCTGTCCACTCTCCGAGAATAATCTAGACCCCCCCCCCCCCTTTTGAGGCATTGGAAGTACATTCTGGACCAATCTGTTGGCCACAGGACCTGTGACTGAACCCTACAGCCAAGCGCCCTTATCCAGGTTTTACCTCCTGGAGGCAGGCTGGTGGGGGTCCAAGCCATGGGGAACAGAGCCCTTCACCTGCAGCCAGAGGCGAGGGGCCACTCGGAAGGGAACTGGAGGCCAGCGTGGTCAGGCGATGAGGCGCCCGAGGGGTGTGCTGGCTGATCACAGCGGGGGGGGGGGGGTCAGGAGAGTGCCCCGCCCCCCGGGGGCCGGGGATAAAGCAGGGTCGGCCTGAGCCAACCTGGTTTTACACAACGGACACATAGCGAAAGGATGATTACGGAGATTCCTGCAGGAAAAATCAGCTTTATTCTAAGTCTGATCTGGTTTCTCAGCATTTTTCCTCACGGAAGTCATTTTCTAAGTGGTGCCGGGTAAGACGCACTCGGGGTCCCCCAGCTGGCAGAGGGGCAGAGCTGACGCCAGCCTTTGGTGGGAGAGCTGCGCAAACTCTCGCAGGGGCTCCCGAGTATCATTCTTCCGACCTTCCTGCCCAGCGTGTGGGCTCAACATGGGAGGCGGAGGGAGCCTCTGGTGTCGTGTGGTCAGACAGGTGGCTGCACGGGCTGGGCCGGGTCCTCATGCCGACAGGAATGTTTGGACTGGGGTGAGCCAGCCCTCGTGACGGGCTGTGGACGTGGCCTGCTGCCTGTGTCCACGACACAGAGTTGAACACATGCAGCGTCCAGGCCCAGGCGTGTACAGTCCGAAACAAAACCACGTTTGGTTGGTGCTGGTTCAAATCCCTCCAAACCCTTTAAAAGTCTGATCGGCTTTTTAGACTTGGGCCAGCAACTGAAACTCGGCTGTTTATTTTTTCTTGTGAGTGCAGTTAACCCACAGCTCACAGAAGGAAGGTGGCACCTCAGCCGGAGCCTGCTCTGCAGCCTTTCGCATCCAGAGCGTCTTCTGAAGCACCGTCTCATCACGTGGGCTTCCCACGTTTCTGTACAAGGCGACGCTCCTTATCCGTTCAGTAGACACCGTTTTCTCCCAAAAAGCTTTATTCATCACATTTAAGGTACAAAATCAAATACACAGTCCCAGGTACCCATCTGTACATATTTGTACATGTATCACTAACCCCCCAGAACCCCGTTCTGACCCTGAACGTGGTGGGAACCTCACGGGCCCACACAGCTTCCCTCAGTGAACACCTGTCTAAGATCATCTGGTTTTGGATCTGGGGGTCCTGGAGCCAATCCCCCGAGAATACTGAGGGACAGCTAAGTTTTGGGGAGTCACAAGTTTTTAAGTGAATTTTCAACTGTGTCAGGGGCCGGGGCCCCTAACACCCACATTGTTCAGGGGTCAACTGCACAACCACCAACAAACACCATCTCAAGTACAAAGCAACACATCTGCAGAAGGACGAACCGGGCGACCAGTAACACTGCAAAGGTACGTTATTCTCACTCCGTCACCTGAGAGGACAGACACGTCTCCTAGGACCTGCAGCTGTTCACGTGGCTTCTGGAAACTGCAGGAAGACGCCTGGGTGACCTGCCAGTCTGCGCACACTGACTGCAAAGGAGACATGAGTTGCGAGGAGACCTTTTCCGAGTAGCCAGTGACGCTCCCAGGGTGTGTGGTGTCCCAACACAGCCTTTCTGAGCAGGGCTGCCCCTGGAGTGGTCCTGGCTTTGCAGGGTGCGGCCGCATCTGTTAAAACGAAACTGGCCACTGAAGGAGGTATGTGATTCTAACACTGCAGGTCACTTCCACCAAGTCCCAAGACAGTTCAGAAGAAAGGCAGACACTCCAGCCTGCCAGGTACAGGGTGTATGTCACAGCACAGATGTCCTGCAGGTCACGGGGATGAAGCGTCTTTGTTCTAGGATGTCACCCTCCTGACGTGAAGACCACAGGAGCCTGAACCTCGGGCCTGATGGTCCCCACAGCAGGAGCTTTATCAGCGCCCGCGCTGCGGGACACGTCCACGGGGAAGGGTCCCTCGCCCAGTCAGAGTTCTGTTCACGGCTCCACAGCAGCGACACACAACGTGCTGATGCCACATTTCCATAGGAAAGGCCATATGTACACGACGCACTGCAGCCTGGAGGTGTGGCCCCGGGACGGTCAGTGCTCAGTCACGACGCCTGCGCCCCTCAGCAGAGCAGCAGCCCCTCCTTGGCAGCCAGGCGCTGCCGGTGCACCTCGTCCTGCTGCAGCTCCTCGTGGTTGGGGTGCCAGAGCTTCGTGATGACCCTCTCCACGTTGAGGGCGTACACGGTGTGCGTGGGGATGACTTCCCTGTGCACCTGGGGTCAGATGAGCACGTCTCAGTGACACTCAGGATACTGACTTCTGCAGCGCGTGGAAGCCATCCACAGAACACACACGAGACCCACGGACCCATAAACTCGAAGCCAGAACCTAGGAGATCCCAAGCCAGCTAACTAGAAAGCAGGAAATAACAAGGTTCCGAAACAGGAATAGGGAACAGGGTTTTTCCTTCTCTCTCGCTGGGGAGGTGGGGGTGGGGAGAAGTCAGGATCTGGGGGGGGGATGAGGAGCTCTGACAGCAAACAGTCCGACTGGAACTGGCCAGGAGGCGGGGGAGCTGAATGCCTCAGGCCGCCCGGCATCTAGGGAAACCACGGAGCCACGTGTTACCTGCAGAGCCTCGAACAGGTCGTACATGTTGACGGGGGGCAGAGACGCGGGGAGGGTGTCCCCGGAGCAGGCCAGCAGGAGCGCGGCCTGCTGCTCAGCGTCATCGGGGTGCGGGTGGGAAGCCGGGTTCTGGCCGATACAGGGAGCAGGGAAGGCTGGAGGGCTGAAAGCAGAGCAGAAACATGCGGCACCACGGGGAGCCGGGTGCGGGACACACGGCTGCCGACAGCTCGCCAGGGGCCTGGACGGGTGGGAACCACCACTTCTGGCTCGTGATGCGCGAAGAGTTGGGATCGTCGCGCTTAGAGCAGCCTGTCCGGCAGGCAGGAGGCAACGCCGAGCGACTGTTCACCCCCCATGTTAAAATATTTACTGCACTCCGGACACAAAGCCAAAAAAACTATTCCCTGCGCTCACAGAGCTTCCACTGGAAAAACAGACCTTAAGTCAAGGGACATGAGGATGAAAACACCGCCTCGGAGGGGACGGCGGAAGCTACTGGAGAAACGGGATCAGGAAGAACACGCGAGAACACGTGGCCAACGCAGGAGGCCGCGGCAGAGGTGCAGGGGGATGAACCCAAGTGGGCCCGCTACACTCCGCGGGAAGTGGGGCAGTTCTTGTGCCATAACACAGGGCAGAACCCCTGCCACGGTGACGGGCACAAGGCGGTGCAGCCACGCGAGCGGGTGAGGTGGAGGACGGGCGCGTAGGCCTGGGCGTGGATGCCGTCCAGGCCCAGGCAGCCCAGTTCCAGAAACACTCCCATCTGAACAGGAGCCCTGGGCCACTCCCCTCAGGGACGGGCTCTGACGCCTGGCAGGGGAGGGACCCTGTGCCCAGAACTCAGCACCGCAGAGTGGGCACCGGGAGCAGAGTGATGCCTGCACAGGCCACTCCTTCGAGCTACAGCCGCAGAGGCAGAGCCGCTCACCGCCCCCGGAAACCTGGCCCTGACCTAGCGGCCACACCTCCGAATGAAAAGGGGTCCCCTCCACCACCAGGTAGGGGCTGCCCCGCGGGAGCCTGAGAGTGAGGGACACTTACTCACGCCACACGCAGCAGCCAAACTGCAGCTTCACTCCCAGTGTGAAGTGTCAAAACAATTCACTAGTCACCACACAAGGGGACACAAGAAAGTAAAACCGTACGCTCTGCGGGGCACCTTAGACTCGGACACGCAAACCTGGTTATTTACCAGCGGTCCTCCCACAGCCGTGCGACCATGGGGAAAGGACGGCGGACCCACAGACACGCAGTACCTTTCTATTAAGCTGTTGTACACCACGACGCTATTCTTCAGGTACGGCTGTGGGGTCACATTGCTGCCAAAGGCATATTTAAAGTGACCATCACGTAACCGGTACGCTTTTCTTCTCGACACGACCGATGCCAATATATCTTTAAGGTGATTCTGTAAAAACAAGAAAGAAAGAAAAATAGCACGAAGTCCCGTTTGCAAGCAAATCCTAAAACTTCACTAACCTGCTCATGTTCACAGGTACTTGGTGGGTGGAGACGGGGACCGGCTGGCACGCGCCGGACCAAGTGCCTGTTCACTGTGGAGCGGAGCCCGCGGGCAGGGAGGGTGCAGGGAAGAGGGAGCTGCGCGTTTTACCTAGTTCCAGTTCAGATGGGCTTGTTTACAGGGAATTCACTTGAAAAGGTTTTATATCTCTAAACTGGTTCTTCTCTCTCAAAGATGATTTGCAAATAGCTTTAAATAAAAGCACAAAAATAAGTGAAGAATTTTTTTAAAAAAAGAGGCAGCCCACCTTAAAATGGGACAAAAAGTTGCAGGATCTGGGACTTCTTGGTTACAGAGCCACGTCACCGAGCTCCTTCCACGAGAGGAAGCTTGGCTCTCCGAGAAGCACACACACAACAGATGCGTAGGACACACACGACACCTCCATTAGAGCCAGGGGTGTGAGAGGGCTGGAGAAGGTGACAGCACACCTGGGCTGGCCTGTTGCTGCGGGGTGAGGGCTGCTGCTGCGGGGTGAGGGCTGCTGCTGCGGGGTGAGGGCTGCTGCTGTGGGGTCAGGGCTGCTGCTGTGGGGTCAGGGCTGCTGCGGGGTCAGGGCTGCTGCTGTGGGGTCAGGGATGCTGAGGGGTCAGGGATGCTGCTGTGAGGTCAGGGACGCTGCGGGGTCAGGGATGCTGCGGGGTCAGGGATGCTGCTGTGGGGTCAGGGCTGCTGCTGTGGGGTCAGGGCTGCTGCTGTGGGGTCAGGGCTGCTGCTGTGGGGTCAGGGCTGCTGCGGGGTCAGGGCTGCTGCTGTGGGGTCAGGGATGCTGAGGGGTCAGGGATGCTGCTGTGAGGTCAGGGACGCTGCGGGGTCAGGGATGCTGCGGGGTCAGGGATGCTGCTGTGGGGTCAGGGCTGCTGCTGTGGGGTCAGGGCTGCTGCGGGGTCAGGGCTGCTGCGGGGTCAGGGCTGCTGCTGTGGGGTCAGGGATGCTGAGGGGTCAGGGATGCTGCTGTGAGGTCAGGGACGCTGCGGGGTCAGGGATGCTGCGGGGTCAGGGATGCTGCTGTGGGGTCAGGGCTGCTGCTGTGGGGTCAGGGCTGCTGCGGGGTCAGGGCTGCTGCGGGGTCAGGGCTGCTGCTGCGGGGTCAGGGATGCTGCGGGGTCAGGGACGCTGCGGGGTCAGGGATGCTGCGGGGTCAGGGATGCTGTGGGGTCAGGGCTGCTGCTGTGGGGTCAGGGCTGCTGCGGGGTCAGGGATGCTGCCGCCACACCAGCAGGAGCACCTCCCACCAGCACTTCCTGGTGCAGGCTGCAACTTCCCCACGTGGAATTCAGTTAATGTTCGTAACGTACTATCTTTGGGGTACAGGTGAGGAAAGGGAGGCCCAGAGAACTGAGAGGTGGCCCAGTGTCCCCTGCAGAACACAATGCATGTGGATGGGAATGAACGGAAACCCCGTGGAGGAGGGAAGCCCCTGAGACCGGCACCCAGCCAGATGCCAAGCCTCACTCCCCAAGCGCCAGGGCACAGCCACCCCGTGACGTCAATCCATAGGCTTCCCCGTCTCCTTCTTGTCCCTGAAAACCACACGGATCACACACAAGCAGCCCCTTGGAAAGCTTCATCTGTTAAGTGAGGACACTTTTCGGGGTGTGATGCGTGTCTCCCCAGAAGACAACAAAGTGAACGATGACAAATCAGAGATCAGAGTGACACGCGGGGTCTGCCACTGCAGCAGTGACTTCCGACCACACACAGACTCGTCCCACGCAGCCCGCGAGGCTGCCGCGGCACACCGACCTCCACGGCGTAGACCACAGCCGAGACAGCCTCCTCCGTGACGTTGTCCAGGCCGTGCTCGTAGGCCGTCACGATCATCCTCCCTTCCAGCTGACCCCGCGTGGGCAGCATCATCGTGTGCGAGCACAGTTTCAGGTCGTCGTCATCTTGGGGGTCCTTTGCCACGAACTGCTGGGCTCCCGAGAGGGGGTTCTGCGGCTGGAATCTGTGCTGAGTGAGAGAACTCTTCCAAGTTACTCACTGCAGTGGCGAGGCACGCGACGCACGGGGACCCACGCCCTGGACCGGCAGCCCACCGCCACCAGCGCCGTGCCACGGGGTTACACACCAAGGGCGTAGCGCGTCGGGAACGAGCAGTCACACACAGCAGGTTATTCAGTAACCAGTATCTCAGTAATCACAGATGTGTCTGCGCTGACAACAATGCAGGGAGGAGGAGGAGGCTCAAAGCACATCCACACCAGGAGAGCACGCGGGCACGCTGGGGCCAGCGGTTCTGAGCGTGCAGAATGTGGTCACCCTGCGGGTTAGCCCCAAGCAGTCCCGCTAACCAAGGCACTGACCCAGCAGCAAATGCTCCGAGGTAATGCCTTGTTACGTGACTAGTTACTACTGTCTTCCGCTTACAACTCTCAACACAGACTCGAAGGCGTTATCATACTGATTATTTAAAATTGTTTTTCTCCATCTTTTCCCACTCCTAGTCTCAGCAGTCTCGGGGACTCTATCATCAGCGGAGACATGCCCCTGGTAGCTTTTGTTTCAGCCCAAAGTATGACACTTTGTAATGAACATGTTTGAAGTCTGTATTAGAAATGAACACTTGTTGAGTTCCCAGTTTCCAGGTTAAAAAACTGCATTTTACATCAAACATGTCTGTTTGAACCAAGTATGCCTCCCTCGGGTACCAAAGCCTCCAGATCCAATTATTATTGACATAAAACACAGAGCAGAGGTAGAAGGAAATATGTGTTGATGTTAATCCATAGAGCTATCAATACCCAGTCAAAATCCATAAAGGGGCCCTGCCCGTTTGACTCAGTAGTAGAGTGTTGGCCCAAGGAGCAATGAGTTGTGGGTTCGATTCTGGTCAAGGGCATGTACCTCGGTTGCGGTTCATTCCCGGCCCTGGTCAGGGTTGTGCAGGAGGCAACCAGTCAATGTGTTCCTCTCACATTGATGTTCTCTCTCTCTCCTTCCCTCACACTCTATCTGAAATAAACAGAAAAATATCCTCAGGTGAGGACTAAGACAAATCTGTAAGGGGATGCTTTGGGAAACGTTCCCCAGATATAGACGGGGAGAGTTACTCCAGACCGCGAACACACTGTACAGCCGAATGCCTTTGGGCCTCCTCTGCCACCCCGGAGGCGCAGGCTGGCTGGGCGCTGCCCGACGCCTCCTGCAGAGGCCTGCAGGCCTCCCGGACAGTGGGACAGGTCACTCTGGGAAATGTCAGAGGGGAAAGGACACAGACATAAGCCTGAACATGCACTTTGAAGACCTCAGCAGTTCACAAACAGTAACGACTTTCCCCTGCTCGTTGCTCCCTTTCCCAACTCTATTACCAGTAACGCAATGTTCATTTAGAAATGTAAGCCAGCCGTGACCGGATCCGCTGAACAACAACCTACATCAAATTTCTGACGCACGGAAGACAGCTTCTTCCTCCCCTTCGGCTTCCCGGGCTTGGCTGCGGAGCCACCGGACCAGGGCAGGGGACCAGCCCCCTCTAGGACAGGAAGTGGTAACCGTCAGAGGCAGTAACGACACTGGGAGCTGCTAAGTTTGTTTTCATTTTGGGCTAAAAAGAAGTATGGGATGCTCAAGTCATGTAAATAATCAATACTTTAATTCAAATCTTCTCTTTCTACTTCTCTAAGCAAAATCATGCGTTCTCTGCACACTTTTTTCTAGCTGTAACCACAATCATTCCGTTAGGAAGACCGATCTGTTTTCCACGTGTAGCTACTGCTCACTGCAGCCGTGTTACAACGCAGAGCAGGGTTTCAGTTCAAGATGGCCTGTCCCACTGACATTCCCCAACAGGAGGGCCCAGCGGTGGGCGTTTCCACCTACCCCGCAGGGTGGGAGTGGGACGGAGCCTCTCCCACCCCCACGGGCTGTGGCCACCACTTCTGCTTCCCACCCATACTCGCCGAGCCCACCTGCGGAAGCTCCACCCCCTTCCGGGTGCTGATGCCTCAGTGGAGACCTCGCGTGCAAGCCCAGGTGCCCTCACTGCGCTGTGACCCCCACCCCTCCATCTGCGGATCCCGCTGCCTCCTGCCCGGCTCTCACTCTGCGTCCTGGCCACCCAGCCCCTGCCTGCTCCTCAGGACTCCAGCGTCAAAAATCCACGGGGTGGGGAGTCAAGACCCACGTGGACGTGAGTCCCGGGAGAGCACCTGCCTGGACAAGGCTGTGAGAACCTGCACCTACACAGACACTCTCTGAGCCCTGCACACACCGCCTGTCAGGGAAGCTGGAGCCGGCCTGGGCCGCGGCTCCTGCCGCCCGCCGCCTGCTCCCTTACCTGGCGTGGACACCAGGATCTGGCAGCGCGTGAGGATGGCCAGGAGGAACTCGTTGTGAGAATGCACTGGAAGGGAAGGGGACGCAGGTCACACTCCGCTCACCCGCGGGGAAAGCACGGTCTGGTCCGCCCCAAGGGTCTGGGATCCCCTGCTCTGCCACTCTGTACCCTTCCTTTTAAATGTCCACATCACTTACAATGGCCTTGCATACCACTAAGAGCAAACTTAGTTTTCTGAGTGAAAAGACCTGAATTTACTGCAGATCTGGGGACCCCAGCAGAGGAGAGGCCCCTGCAGCCCTCTCACCATTGTCCTGCGTGAGAAGTCTGTGAGCTTCAAGGTCAAACTCTTCCTTGCTGATCTTCTGCTTGAACCACAGCTTTAAGTTGGCCCAGTACCTGCAGAGGCAGAAACACATTCAGGCTCACAGGCTCTGCCTCCTTCGCAAGTTCATCCACCACACCCCACCTCCCAGGGAAGCACGTGTCACGCTCCCCAGTGCGAGGGGCTGAGCCCCTCGCTCCCCACCCCAGAATGTGACTGTATTTGGAGACAGGGTCTTTAAAGAGGTAATCAGTTCAAATGGAGTTCTCAGGGTGGGCCTAATCCAATGTGACTGGTGTCCCGATAAGAAGTAGATCAGAGACTGAGACAGAGGCAGGAGACAACGACCATCTACAAGCGAAGAGCAGAGGCCTCAGACGTCAGACCTCCAGCCTCTACAGCGGGATCCGCAGATCCTGTCTGTGGCATCTTGTGGCTCCCCAGCAGACTGCTGTGCCGGGCAGTCAGGGTGCCACCGGAAGAGAAAGGAAGGAAAGTCCTCCCTGAAAGGGACTCACAAGTACTCGGCAGACTCCCGAGCCCACCCCTCACGGCCACCTCCTCAGGGCCCTCCCCAGAAGCCGGCACTGGAGCTCGGCGCTAGTTAAGGCTCTGCTGCGTCTCTGAACGTTTCCAAGAGAGATCTTAAAAGTTCTTATCACAAGAAAAAAACCACTTTTAACTATGTATGGTGACAGATATTAAGTAGATTTATTTATTTATTTATTTTTATCCTCACCCGAGGATATTTTTTGCATTTATCTTCAGATAGAGCTGGAGGGAGAGAGGAAGGAAGGAAGGGAGAAACATCGATGTGAGAGACACACATCAAGTGGCTGCCACCCACACGACCCCAACAGGGGCCAGGGACGCACTGCAACTGAGGCACATGCCCTTAGCGGGAACTGAACCCGGGACTCTCTGGTCTGCGGGCCATGCTCTAACCGCTGAGCCACACTGGCCAGGGCTTAAGTAGATTTTGATGATCACTTTGCAGTACTTACAAATACCGAATCATTATATTGTGCACCCGAAACTAATGTAATCTGTCAATTATACTTCAATTTCAAAAAAGATTTACATTTTAAAATGTGTGTGTTTTATGGGTTGGGTGTGGCCATTAATACTGCTTCTGGTTGGCCACTTTCCTTTCAAATGGAGTCCAGCTTGAATCTAATGGGCTGAAGTAGTTGGGGGTTTTTTTCTACTTTTTAAATATGCTTTTATTGATTTTTTTAGAGAGGAAGGGACAGATACAAATATCGATATGAGAGAAAATCGATCGGCTGGCTGCCTCCTGCACACCCCACACTGGGGATCAAGTCTGAAACCCAGGCATGTGCCCTGATGGGGAATTGAACCGGGACCTCTCAGTCCACTGAGCCACACTGCCGGCTTGAAGGAGCTGGTTTCTAAAACAGCTCACCGCCCAAGAAAATACGGGGGGATTATCAGAAACTTAGTGGTTTTTAAAGTGAAAACCAACCGCTAATGATCGAAATAGCAAGTCGGCTGGTAGAGAAAGAAGAGGTTCTTCTGCTCCTAACAGAACATCGTGAGACACAGGAGTAAAACACACGAGTTTTCACATCCACGCCCCTTGTTTCGGTGCTTACGGAAGTGGCTCCTGGTTCATGAACCGGGATTAAAAATTACTTGGTTTGGTCTCACAATCACTTTCAGTTCATGCCTGTTTACTTTCTAATGCTCATTTGGGTTCCTAACAGGAAGAAAAGTGGAGTTTTCTCACCCATATGGTTTAATGCCCTCTCTGCCTCACTGTGCCCCAACCAGGGCTTCCTCCCGTTCCCGGGCATCTCAGTGTGATCTCTGCATGTAACCGGCCGTGGATGTAGTAGTCGCAGCCAAAGCTTTGGCTTTGTGGGCACTTTTTTTTTTTTTTCAGGAGAAAACCCACAGCCTTAATGGCGTCTTCAAGTGGCCTAAGGCCCCTTCAGTCCACAGCCCACCGTGTTCAGCCGGGAGAGCTGGCCACCCTTTTCACCTGACGGCCCACGCTCAGCACTGATGCCGTCCCAACAGTGGACACTGCTGAGAGATAAGGAAATGAAATAACGCTCTTTCCCCTCCTCTTCTATCCAACAAGAGGCCAGTCATGCCAGAAAGACATCCTGATGGAGAAGCTCCGTGTCACGCGCGTACAAGGAACGTGCGGACAGATGCACATCGGGCCCATCATGGCTCAGAACCAAGACAAGGTCCGCAGGGACGCTCGGCCGTCTCCCGTGGCGAACTTTCGCGCCCAAACTGGCTACCAAGAGCTGGACAACTCTCTGGTCCTGGTCCCTGTGTGTTGACTTGCTGGACACCCATAGCCAGACGGCTGTTTTCCCCAATAACACCAGCCTCTGTGAGGATGAGGGTGATGGTGACGGTGGAAGTGGGTCAGCCCAGGGAGCACTAGAGGCACCCGGAGAAAACCAGTAACACAGGACCCAGCCATCCCAAACGGAGCACCTGTTTGAACGAGACACTCCCCTGGGGACCCACGGGAGTCCCCAGCATCTCAGAGGTTCCTACTGTGACATCCCGCGGCCTGGGCCTTGGCGGAAAAGGGTGGATGTTACACTCGTGCATCCAGCATCGGGCCCGCGGTGTCCTCGGTCCCCGGGGTCCCTGGGGAAGGTGTGGCTGGGCACCTGCGGGGCCCTTTGCACCCAGCCGGCAGGTGTCAGGGGCCCGGAAGCAGAGGCGAGGGACCCCTCCTGCTGATGACCGTCCGGCTGGAGCTGCCGCCCTCCCGGGACCTGGACCTCGCTGTCGGATGGGAACACCTGCACCTGGCTCGCCTCTGCCGCGAGGCTGAGGACACCACCCCCGGGGCGCTGAGGGTGTTGGGGCGCCCGCTACCGCGACGCCCCCGGAGGGTCTGTCCGCCTCCGAGGCGGCCGTGCACGCTGTCCCGACGGCGCCTCCGTCTCCAGGAAGCCCTCCTGGGCGCCTCCACCGGGCCCGCCCCGCCCGGGCGGGGTCCCGGCGCCGCGGAGGCAGGGAGGCCCGGCCGGCAGCGCGGGAGGCCCGGGGCCCGCCCGGCGCAGAGGCCCCGCCGCCCGCGGTGCCAGGCTGCCAGGCCGGCGGCTCGGCGGCCCGGGAGCCCCGCGCGGGGGCCGCGGGCGGCGCTTACTGTTTCACGTTGTCCCCCAGGGCCTCGCTCAGGTTCTTCTTGGCCGCCTCCAGCTCGCTCACAAAGGTCGCCATTGCTCCCGGCTCGGCCCGACCGCAGGCTCGGCCGCCGCGACTCGCAACCGAAAGACCAAGGCGGCGGCGGCCTCGCGCCGGAGGCCCCGCCCCCCGACGCTCACAGGACGTCGGTTTGGTTGTTGGCTCCGCCCGCCCGCCTGTCCGCGGAGAAAGGGCGGAGCCAAGCCCGCCGAACGCGCCCCCGTCCTGGCCCCGCCCCCGGATCACGTGGTCGCTCCGCGCGCCGCGGCGGCAGCGCCACCTGCTGGACTGGCGCGTCCCGCCCTCTCCGTCGGCCACCTGGCTCCCAGGCTGGGACTGTGGCCCAGTCCTCTCGGCTGCGTGTCTGACCCGCAGGTCACAGAGTGCAGCGTCCACCTCATTCTCTTCTTTGCTTCGTTTTCCGCCGGGCACCCATCTGATACTGTTATAACCCAGTAATTCTCCATCTGCTAGAAGAAGGAACCTCCCCTGGGTTCCTTGAGCCCGAGTTGTTTTTGCAAAAATTCTTGAAGAGGAAGGTATGCATCAGCCATGACCACAAGGGTATTGACCATGAGCTTAACTAATCAGGAGATGCCAGACGGGGCAATGAGACCTTCAAGGCTAAGGTCTAGTAAATGTTAAGAAATAGAAAATAAACAACTTGTGCAGTTACTAACTGCTGATATCTGCTTCTGGACATGCAGCTTGCTTGCTCTGCTAAACTTTTGAGTAACCCCTGTCTTATATAAGCAACCCTCCCCCTGAGCTCGGGGCTGCAGTTCTCCTCTGTGTAGGTTGGCTGCAGTCCCTGCGCAGGTAATAAAGCTCCTAATATTCAAAATTACTTGATGTCTGAGTGAGGATGACTCTCCTGGGTTACAACAATACGCCGTGTAGTTGAAATACCTTGTTCGTTTCACGCCTTCTCCGACAGGGAGGTAAGTTCCATGAGGACAGGACCTGCGATTTACTCCTGTTTGCTCAGCTGCAGAAAAATGGTAGAATTCGCTGAGCCAACGTAGGGAGTGTGGACACGGGAAGAAACGCACAGAGGAAAAGAAGGAAGAAAGAAAAAATCTTTTACTGTCCGCCCAAACTCTTTTAACAGATTTCTCCCCCACTCCTCATAATTTAGGATCACACCCTAGCTTCAGTTGTGAATCTTGGTGGGTTTTTCTTTTTTAACTAAATATAATAATATAAATGTTTTCCTCTGGCATTACATTGTCTTTTTAATCCTAATTTTTTTTTTTTTATCCTCATCCGAGGACATTTTTCCATTTTTTGTACAGACAGAGTGGGAGGGAGAGAGAGAAAGAGAGAGAGAGGTAAACATCGATGTGAAAGGGACACATCGAGTGGCTGCCACCCGCACGACCAACCAGGGCCGGGGACAAACTGCAACCAAGGTACGTGCCCTTAGCGGGAACCGAACCCGGGTCTCTTCAGACCGCAGGCGGACGCTCTAACCACTGAGCCAAACCGGCCAGGGCTTTAATCCTAATTTTAATGCCAGCATATGAAATACCCCACAGATAGGAGGTACACGGTAGCCTGTTTCCTGGCTGTGGATTGATTGCTTTTATTTTGTTAGAAACACAGTAATACACGTTATACATAAAGCTTGTCCTCATTTAAGGTTATAAATATAGTTGTGTACAAACACTGTGCAAAGGAAAACCATCCCAAATGTTCATTTTCATATGGCTGTTTTACTTACATATCCCCTAAAAGCTTGGCCCTGGCTGATTAGTTCTTCCCAGTTCTGTATCTTATGGAGCACCGGTGTTTGGGGCAGTAGGATTGGGTGTCGGAGTTGTGAGATGTCTCAGTTTGGTGACTATTGTTGTCGTTTCTCCCAGAGAGTATATTTAGGTTCTTTAGACCTATTTATAAACCACGGCCTAACACAGCAGAAAAGTGTTGATTGATTTAACTCCGATTATTGGCATCGGCTCATCGGCCTTCTTCCCCAGACCCTGGAGCGAAGGGGAGTTGTTTCCCCGACAGGCTCAGCAGCTCTGCTTGTGTTACACATCTGTGGGGACACCGTGTTCTGTAGTGCCTCACACTCAGCATACGTGTCTGCCAGAATTAACTATGCTAGACCACTCTATAAACATTCTTCCTCCTCTCTATCTGTGTGGATGCACAGGTTTTAATATAGTGAAAGGATGTAGACTAGATTGTATTAGGGCCTCGTAAGACTTATGGTGGAAAACAATCGGAGAGGCACGTTGCCCGGAACCCACACGGATTTGTGTTATGACCGCCAGAGGAGGTAGGTTGGTTCCGAATCTTTTTCGGGCCTTATTTATGGGGCCCGTGGTCCGTCTGGTGAAGCCGTGCAGCCTTCTCAGAATAACGTTTCTGGATGTGGACGCTGCGCGGGCTCACATGGAAAAGTTCGAGTGAAGCGCAGTTGTGTTCCTGGGCCCAGCTCACGGCCTTCTGAAGCGTCGAAGTGCAGTCGAACAGCACGGGTTTGAACTGCCTGTCCACTTACACAGGGACTCTTTCCAGTCAAGACAGCTGGCCCTTCGTATCCTCCGGCTTCGCATCTGCAGATTCAACCAACCACGGGCGGAAAACAGTGTTTTCACACTGCCAACCGCCGATGCCCAGCCAGGGATCAAAAGTGCAGTTTTCGCCCTGGCCGGTTTGGCTCAGCGGTTAGAGCGTCGGCCTGCGGTCCGGAGAGACCCGGGTTCGGTTCCCGCTAAGGGCACGTACCTCGGTTGCAGTTTGTCCCCGGCCCTGGTGGGTCGTGCGGGTGGCAGCCACTCGATGTGTCCCTTCACGTCGATGTTTCTCTCTCTCTCTCCCTTCCTCTCTCTCCCTCCCGCTCTATCTGTACAAAAAATGGAAAAATATCCTCGGGTGAGGAAAAAAAAAAAAAAGTGCAGTTTTCAATGTGCAGTTGGCTGAATCCAGGTATTTGAAGGGCCGAGTGTAGCGTCAAAATGTAAACACAGGTTTGTGCCCGCAGAGGGGGAGTGTCCCTAACCCCCTGTTGTTGACGAGTCAGCTGCCCTTGGTTCACTGAGGATGCTGGGACAAAGTGCCACAGGCCGGTGGCTTTAACGGCAGCAGTTTATTTGCTCACAGTTCCGGAGGCTGGCAGTTCGAGATGAAGGTGGCAGCCGTGTGGTTTCTGGGCAGGCCTCTCTGGCTTACAGACAGCCACCTCACTATCCTCGCCTGGCCTTTCCTTCGTGCACGGTGGCCGGGGCACTCTCTGTCGTCTCTGGTTGGAAGGACACTAACCCTGAAGGACCAGGACCCCACCCTTAGGACCTAATTTAACCTTGGCTTTCTCGGGGGCCCCATCTCCAAATAGGCCAAACACAGCCACACTGGGGGTTAACAACTCGGGAACTGGGGGGGGGGGTGCAAATTCAGTCCCTGACAATCCCACAGGGAGTTCACGCCCCCCCCCCCCCCCATGCTAGGACTCAGAACTGGAAGGCAGCAGGGATTCTGGGGGATGAATGACACCTAAGCAATCCAAGAACTCTGGAAAGTGAGCACTGTTTTTAACCATGTTTTGCCTGTGTGGTTATAATGGATGTGATGAAAGTATTTTCCCTGGATTTGTAGATGGAAGATAATGAGAAGCCATCAACTGTACAGTACATCTACGTTGTAAAATGTAAATAACTTTGCAAAGATTAACTTAGTCTAGTTTTTAAAATCTATTTTAAAAAGTATCCTATAGCAGTTTTCATTTTGCTTTCCCCAGTTAGAGGAGGGGGTGTAAGTGTCATTACAACTAAAGGTTTAGAGTTAGGACGGTCGACAGACTGGAGATGCTGCAGGGGTTGCTGTTCTGCGAGGGGAGAATTCGGGGCAGAGCTGGGCCAGGAATTAGCCCCTGAGGACCAGAGGAGACGCCCCCTGTGCGCACAGCCCGGGGTCCCCCGGGGGTTCCGGTGCAGATGTCAGAGGCAGCGCCTCAGGTTCGGTTTCCCCTGCTCGCTCCAGGAGCCCAGTGAAGCCCGGCTTCCGTGACCGCAGTGAGAACAGCCGCCTGCAGCTCCAGGGCCGAGGGCTCAAAGAGCACCTATTAAAGATGACGTTAGCCCGGGGCCTAATATCGGAGGTGTTTAGGGGGCTGTCCTTTAAATTTTTCAAAAAACAGTCCTTGCGACACATCGGAGAGGACTCCCTTCAAACCTCGGGAAGCAGCCAGCCACATGGAAAGTTGGAAAACATGTCCGAGCCTCTGGCACCCGCTCAGAAGGTGGACGAGAGCTTCTCCGAGGTGCTGAAAGTGTCCTGTGGTGCCGGAGGCCAAGCACAGCAGCGAGCTCCGGCTCTTGGGGCAGGTGGAGATTTGAAACAGACGCGGTCACTGAGGTTACCGTTGACATACAGAGACCGTGCTGGACGGAGATGAGCTACACACGTCACCCCCGGGAGGAGGGGACACCACAGGCGAGTTTGAGAAGGTTCAGCAGGGCTCCTTGTTTGAATTCCAGGAGGTGATCGCTGCCTGGGGTCACAGCTGTACAGAAGGCGCCTCCTGGCCACCTGCTGGAGGCTGTGGCATCTGCCCTGGGGGGACAGCCAGTGGGCGGAGCCAGGGCTCACTCCAGGAAGGAGCTGTCCTGCATGTCTTTTGTTCGATTCGTGCCTCATTAAGAAAAGTTGCGGTGTCCTTGTAAAGACATCTTTTTGTCTGTTCCTTCCCTCTCTGTTACGTTATCTCATTTGTTTGGTTGGCACACTGGAGGGGAAACGAGGCAGAACAGGGCAGGCTGGGCCACCTGGTCTGAGGTCTGCATCCTGGCTGTTCCTGTCCTGGCTCGTTGGCTCTGGGCCAGGGACTTCATCACTGCCCCAGTGTCCACATCTGCAGGGTGGGGATAACAGCTCTCACTGTTGTCGTAAAGATTCAACTGTAACATGTAAGTGCCAGGCCCGTAGTAAAGTCAACACCGTAGCCACATACGGCCGCCGTGAGCACTTGACACTCAGGAGCTGAATCTTGAATGAAATTGAAACTTGAAAACCCACCTCTGGCTAGTAGCTAATGGCAACCAGATTGAACAGCTCAAGGTCAGACCCACTAATACAGGGCGGGGC